GCTTAAATTTTCAAGAAGACAAATTATCTAGCATGCCATAGCCAAATTACTAAGGGATCTTTGAGTTCAACTTTTCTTATTTCCATTATCAATAAGAGCTCCAATTTCACCCATCCAATTCTGTTTCAAGTTCTACATCCACCTCTTGACTTGCATGAGCAGCATTTGTTGTTTTGTCAGCATGACATGCATTTCTGAATAATGCATATAATATAACTGTAGTTAATTAATTCCTGTATCTTTATATGCCAATTGAAACTTAAAAGTAAAAATAACTAAAATATGGATGACAAACAAAGATGTCTTCAAAAATTTAAATACGAGATCCCATCAAAATTGGGTCAGAGAAAAGCTAACCATATATCGCCATGAGGGTAAACGATGAGGAAGAGCAGTAAGTCCAATTCGTTGGGTTAACTTCATCAGATACTTGCGGAGCAAAGGACTTCTAGCTGCATTTGAGGACTTGTACAATATTGAAGTGTCATTCCATACAACTGGAATTGCATCAAGCAAGAGATTCCGACTACCTGCCTGCTTACAGATTGACGTTATAACAGTTAGAATCATTGAAGGTAACAAATGAAGATAAAAGCATTTTCATTTGAGTGTGTAAATGAAAAAGGACAAAAACAAACCTTGAAAATAGCAGCCAGTGCTTCAACACCACCAAGTAATTGGAAATGATGGAGTAAATCTTCGGTAACAGAGGACATGACCTTATGTGTCCACTCAACAAAGCTGAAGCAATTAGAAAAGTAAGTCTACGCAGAAACTATCAGGCAATTCATTTTTTCCCATGATGACTAGTAAAACAAAAGCTTCAATACAACACAAATGCAAGCACGCATACATGACTGAAGTGATAAGACATAATGTTGTGAACTAGCGACAATTAAAATATACACATTTTTTTAAGAGATATAAGAAAAGCATTTCTTACATTTGTAAACAGAGAGAAATATAAGTTAACACTACTAAATAAGCCATAAAATAAAATTAAAGAAACCTGGTGAAGGCTTTTGGCATGTCTGGACGAGTAAGTAGTCTTGAGAGGACTAATCCTGCCATAGTACGCATTGGCCCAGCAGTTGAGAGATAATCCTTACAGAACCCTATTATTCTCAACACAAGAGGAGCAAGATCGAACTCAGTTACATTGTCATTGCCAGCAATACTAGTGTCAACACTGGAAATGTCAAAAGGAACCAATACAAGTATATAGAGCCACAACAGCATCACACACTTGGCTTCCATCTCTCCCGTGCTTTCCTCCCTCAATGACGTCACTGATTTTGTGTGATGACACTTCTCCAAGAGAGACACCGCAAGTTCAAGATCAGAAACTTGATGCGGAAAAAACTTAATGACAGATTTGTATCCGCAAACTGTTACTAAAGTATAGATAATAATACATATTGGCTTAATTGTTTCGAGAATTTCATCTGAAGCTACACCGAGTTCAATTGTTCTTGAGCGAATAATGTTCATGAGTGGAGAAACTATAGTTTCGAGGTAAGGTTCTAGAAGTTGACCTTGCTCCTGATACTTGTCCATCTGTACATAAGGAAGAAGTGTTCAAGATTCACAGGAAGCAAAGCATGTGCATGTGATAGCGTGATAGTGTGAAAGAAATGGAAGTGAAAATGGGAGGAGCGGAGGGAGAGTACAATGGATCTGATTTTGTGAACGGAGGAAGGGTCGGAGACACGGCCGTTGGAAACGGTGTCGTCGAGTAGGGACTTGACGATCTTCCATTCTTGGAGGAAGTACTTCTGCAGCACACTCTCCTTGGAATCCAATTCGTCGTCGTCTTGGTTCACCGTCACCGTTTCTTGATTGGGTTCCATCGCCTCTGGGGCTGAATGGTATTTTGGCGGGATCGAGCTCAGAAAAAGAGTAGAGAACCACTCGTCGGAGTTTCAAGTTGCAGTTGCGAGTCACGAGTGAAGGCAATGGGCCGGGTCTCGGTTCTACCCTTCCAACTAAAAGAATCACAAAATCAGTGCTTTTTGTTGCACCCATGGACCTTAAAATAATCAATAATGATATTTTTCACGTTTCCTTTCCCTGTATCTTGATCTTGTTAAAATTAAGGTAAACAAGGGAGCTAAAATTAAGTTTAGTTTTATAAAGCAAACAACTCTTGTCAAACCTCGTAAGATTATTTTGGTTGAAGTTGGTTAGTTTTTTTTTCTCTCTCTCTCTCTCTAAATTGTTTGTATATTTTACTAATTATGAATTTTAAATTTAAATTAAAGTACACAAGAGTAATAAAAAATATTAAAAACATGTTTACTATATTAGCTCAGCTGACGTAATTAAGTGGCACACGAATGAGTTATTATTTTAAATCGTTAGATATATTTTAAAAGAAATAATAGTTTATATCTTTTACTTTTATTTGATATTACTGGTTTTATATTTATAATTATTCTTTCAACTTTTAAAATTTATTATTATAAATTTTTATAAAATTTTATTGATAGCTAATTTTTTTTTCATGCAAATCTTGCATGTATAATAATATGTCTTTGTAATAAAAATAATTACTTTTAAAATACGTGTTCGATTTTAAAATAATTTATTAATAACTATTTTTTTTTATATACATGTGTTCAATTTTAATTTATAATAAAAATAACTTATAAAATAATATAACGTTAAATGATATTTTAAATATTTAAAATTATTTATAAAATTTTATATATGCAATTCATGGTTTTTATAATTAAAATTTTTACATTTTAAATTCATGCTTATCAAAGAAAGATATATAACTGTAAATTTATTATATGCTTTATCTATTATTAAAGTCTTAAAGTGACTTCACAATAATCATAAATTACAAACTTATAGTTTTAAGCACATTTTTACTAGACAGAAAAATATTTGAGAGAATGTTGATTATTGATTGATATTTGTCATTTTCGTTTTGCAACGTGAACAACAAAATTAAATGACGGTATAAACCAAATTAACATCTTTCATAATGCAAAAGATCAATTAATTGATAGTATCCGTTCCAAGGAGTGTTAATTGTTCTAGTTCATTGTGGGTGCGGGTATTGGAATCTAGGTATGGTAGATTAGTTTCTTCTATTTAGTATTCATCAGTTTACAACAGATGTTATTTGTGGTGGCGTGATTTGCTGAAGGTTATTCATCAAAGAAATTTATAGCTGGATAAAAAGTTTGATAGGAGTGTGTGTGCAAGTTTACACACACTTTTTTGGATAGATAAATGGGTAGACGGGGTACGATTGTGTGAAACATTTATGCGATTGTTTGCGGACGATGAATGCTGAATCATGTATATTGGAGAATAATTTTCAAGATGACACTAGGTGGGTTTGAGATGTTAGTTGGCGAAAAGGACTCTTTCAAAATGAGATATAAAGTTTTAATATTTTATTGGAGCTTATGGATGGGGTTTTTATTAAGTTATTACAAGAACATAAATGGGTATAGAAGACATATTTTTCAGGTTGTTATTCAGTGCAATCTGCGTATTCATGGTTATTTAAACTTTTTGGTTGTCCTAATAGTGTAGATCAGTATACAACAAATACCTTGCAAAGGCTATGGAGAGGGAATGTCCCTTTTAAGTGTCTGATATTTTTCTTGACAATTGTTGTTGAATGTACTTCCTTATAAAAGTTTGTTGATTGATCATGGTGTTCAAATTGATAATATAACTTGTTGCTTCTGTCATGGTTTGGAAGAACTTTTAACTCATTTATTTTTAACGTGCTCAGTTTCATCTCAAATCTGGTACTTTACTGCGCGTTAGCTTTGATTCTCACTGGTTTTGCCTTTAGATCTATCGACTCACTTGCTTTATTGGGTTGATGTTTACTGTAGTAAAAGAGAAGGGATATGCTTATTAATTGTTTGGGTAAGTACAATGTGGTATTTGTGGTTACATAGAAATAGAATCGTGTTTTCCAATAATGGTTTATATGAGAGAGAAGTCTTATATTCTATTATTCTAAAGTTCTGGAAATGGCCATCACTTGTTAGTAAGAGAGAAACTATTTTGTTAGCTGATTGATATTTGAACTTGTAAAATTGCATCTATTTTAACTTTGTATAAGTATATTTTTGTTTTTTATTTCTTTGAGTAAGTTTTTTTTTATATGAGTTTTGAGTTTCTCTTGAATTCTCTCTAATAATATTTGTTTTGTCTATTAAAAAAAATTAATAGTATCTATTCCAGAGAGCAAATTAATACATTAGCGAGAAGTTATTTTCACCCTCGCGCTCTGTTTGGCAGAAAAAAATAAAAAAAAGGATTATATTATTAGTTTTAATAAAATTAAGAAGAAAAAGAAAAAATATTATGATTTTATTTAAACTAAAGGTATAATTCAAGTCATTTAAAATTATTATAGGGTATATTTAAAACTTTAAGTTCAATTGGAAAGCTTTCGTAATACACATGTTTAGTGAGAAATAAAATTATATAATTTCTGTTAAAAAATAAAAGAAAAGGTGAACACATTTGGAAAAATTGATTTTCTTTGAGGTGAGAGTAATTGGAGAGCGAATACGACATTTTGTTTTTTCATTGTTTTAATAATATTTATCTTTTGTAACTAAGCTTGAGTGATTTTAGAAATAAATTTTTATAGAAAAAAATTCATAAAAAAATATATACAAAACTAACTTATTTTGGAAGTTAAAAATAATATAACTCTTTAAATTTTAAAAGAATTTACCCAAATTTAACTATAATATACAATATACAATATATATATATATATATACACACGTTTACAATTTCATCAAACCAACACCACCAATTGGGACACACTTTTCACTTGAGAATCAAAACGTAAAATTCAACGTAATTATTTATTTGCCAAAGCCTAAAAAAAGGAAAACGATAATTCAACCTCCAATAAATCACCGTCATCATTTTCCTCGCTCCTCATTTTTTTTCGACCATTTTTTCATACAGCAAACTCGAACAAGAAAGTGGAAGTGATCCAACAGTAGCCTTCACTACGAATCCCTGAAATCAGCGCTTTCCACAGTCTTGAATTTCAACACAGTCACTACTTTGGTTATCGTTAATCCGAATCCAAAGTGAAAAGAGGAAGATGGGTGTGGGTATATCAGTATTGATAGCACTAAAAGCAACAACGCTATTCATGTGCTTCGCGTACCTAAGAAGCTTGGGTTTCACACTCTTCTCTCTTCCCTTTCTCTACGCTTCGCTGGTCTCATTCCTGGTCTCAATCGCATCTCACCCATCAATTGACCTTCCAATGCTTCTAGGAAAAAACACTGACGGTAGTTTCCCCATTGTGTCGCTCATAATCTTCAGCCCTTACCTCTACTTTGTTCGAATCTTCTCTTTGCTTCGAAGACTCAGAAGCGGGGAACCTCCCTACACGCAAGTTCACGATGGTCTCTATGTTGGAGGTTGGCCATCTTCGCCCCAGAAGCTGCCACCTGGAGACCCTGCCGTCGTTGATTGCACGTGCGAGTTTCCCAGGGTGAAGGACTTCACTGCTGGGTTGCCTTATAGGTGCATTCCCACGTGGGACACGAGATCGCCTCAACCAGCTGATATTGAATCTGCTGTTAAGTGGGCTTGCCGAAAGAGAGAACTCAATAGGCCCATTTTTGTTCACTGCGCTTATGGTTAGCGTTACCTGAATCGCTTCCTTGTTTTGTTGGGTCATGAATGTCAATGTTTTTTAGTGTTAAGACATGTATTGTTTATTTGGTGTCGAATATTGAAAATCTGTGAACCCCGTTTTCATGTGCGCGATCTTAACTCTTTGTATGCATATAACTATTTCAAGTGATTGAGATTTCACAGTTACTTTGTATTAGTGGTGCTGCTTTCTCTTTCGTGTCTTCATAAGCTCGGTTTATTGCTTGTTGTTTGTTTAAATAGTTTATGAAACATTAAGTGATTTGATTGAAACCTTTGAAGTGATAGTTTTCTGTTGATAGACATTCATATTCACCTTTTAACTTATTCCACGGTCAAATATATGATAGCATGATAATTTATTCTATCTTTCGTTTTGTATTAGTGCTACCGATTACAGTTGTCCAAACCAAAGACTTGAGTTTAGAAGTAGTCTTGAACTATCAAATTTGTTTGTCAAGGAAGAACCTGAGCCTATGACGATCATAAAAGAATGGTTTGGAAAATAAAGAAAAGAGCTTACAAGTGAAAACATGAAAAGAGTCCAAATTCCAAATTTTCATATCTAATTGGAAGCGAGATGAATACAAAGTGAAAACAGAAGGTACTCTGAACCCATAATTTCCCTAGCATTCTTGTTCCTCCAGAAGTGAAAAATCCAAGTTATATGATATATCAATAACTAATCTTACTTCTTTCTTAGACCAGCAATAAAACTCCCAACTATCAAAATGATCTCTTCTATATGCTTGCATGCCTGACCAAAGGTCATTTGCAATTTTCTCTATCCTCTAAATGCCTTATATTGGAATTTGGAAAAAGGAAAGGTAGTCAAGGAAATATGGGGCACACAGTTATAGTGGGAGTAGTCTAACTAATCAAAGATAAAACACCCTTCAAATTATGTAAGTGTTTGTTTGATCTTTTGAACCACAACATCCCTAAAGGAAACAACGTAGAACTGAGACAACTATTAGAAGAAAGAATCTGATCATGACAATAATACAGGTTTTGGATGTTGTATTCTATTGTCATCAACAAAAATTAAAAAAGGTTTAACATCACCAATGAAGTGACCTTTGGTTTCCTTGATGAACATTCGTTTGGGGTGATCTTCATATTGTTCTGCTAGCTTTTCTCAGCTTGACTCTATGATGCTGAAAATTGATAAATGCAAATCTTTGGCTGAAGGGCTGAACAAGTAGGCAATGTTAGTTTTGATGTTGAACAATGTTTTTCCAACCGCTGTGCTTACAGTATGCCCTTTGGAGGGTTCTGCATTGGGGTTTACCCTTGTTTATGCAGCTGTCTAGTATAAGAAACCCAACAAAATTGAACCAAAGGAAGTGTATTGTTTTGACAATTGAATTTGGTTTCTCCCTATTTTGAAAGGAAAAGAAGGTAAAATGAAAAATAGGAATGGAATGAAATATGATTTGAAGACTGAAAAACAAATACTCACTTAGCAATTAGCATCATCAAGCCATTGCCAAGTTTGAAATTTGTAGGGTGTGAAAAGTTATTAAAGATCACAGATTGTTGCGTATCAAATGGGAGTATAGCATATTCTCTTATGCATTGAGTTTTAAGGGTTACCCATCCTATTAACTGGGTGTTAGAAGCATAGAGATGCAATTAAAAAATTGGCCATTGAAGGATTATTATAGCTGCAATTTGATCAATGAGGTAGGATTATTTGACATTTAAATGTTACGTTTTTACTTATTTTGTTCATGCCTCAGTCTGATCATAATAGTGTCATACACTGAAAATTTTGTGTAGTAATGAATACATGTAGAGCAAACCTCCAGTGATGAGGGAAGCATGTGATAAGTGAAACTAAAATATCTTTATGTCTTTGCAAAGTCCCACGCACTGACATAAAAAGTTTACATATTTTGACTGACAAGAGGTTGTAGTCTAATTGTTTGGAACTTCTATTGGTCAATGAGAGAACATTTGACTTACAAATAGCAAGGATAAACATAATGAAATTTCCTCACGGACTATTGGATCAACATAAAATTAGTTACAATGTACAATGTCACATTGTCATGCAATGCCAGATTATTATGCTTGCAAAATAAGATGATATAACTATCTTCAAATTTTTTAAATGTTTTTTTCCTGTGTAAAGGTCATGGAAGAAGTGTTGCTGTCATGTGTGCACTGTTAGTAGCACTAGGCATTACAGAGGATTGGAAGAATGCTGAGAAGCTGATCAAGCAAAAACGGCCCTACATCCGGATGAATGCTCTTCATCGCATGGCACTTGAAGAATGGTCAAGACACCGATTGTCTGTGCCGAAGAAGCATAGACATGGCTGATTCTTTTAGTCAATCACAGCATGATTGTTTTCCAAACATTGGTAAATGAAGAAAGGGATAAAGCATCGGTTCTCCTTATGTCTTTACTTTCTTAGCATTCTTCTCTTCCAGTAACCTTAAATCTAATATCTGTTTCCTAATTGTTCCGTAGCCGGCTTCATCTGCTTTGATCATGTTGAAACTGACGCGTGGAATAGTGGGATTACGTATTATGGAGAGCTGGAACACCTGTAGACACGATTTCGCTGTGTAATGTCCATGAACAATGATTCCAAGTGTAATTTGTAGTAAGTTATGATTTATGTCAATTATTGAACTGTTGGTAGCTTCTGGTACACGTATTAAAATAGGATTAAACATAATATATTGAATTCAGTTTTTGGTTTGGTGTATTTTTAAAATGAGCTATGCTATTTGGTGCAAAAATTTTTGTACGAATATTGGTGAAGTCACGTGTTCTTTTATGATTGGCCTAATGTTAAATTAACAATAATAAACACTAGTGGTTATACGGAAAGCAAAGGGGGGTTTTGATTATACCATTTTCGTTTTGTACCATTTATTATTTCCGTTTAAAAATAAAACAAAATGAAACATGAATTAGAAAGTGATACATTTTAGTTTTACTTAAAAAGTTGGAATGAAGAAGAACCAAACAGAACGAGACGTTTTTGCCAAACGCTTAAAAGTTCCACTTGCTCATGAGATAAGAATTAGTTTTTGTTTGTCCTGTAAGTGTTAATGACACCAAGACATGCAGGGAATTTATTATGCAGCATTAAGTGTCTGAGTTTTAATTTCAGATGATTTGAAAACATTTTCAGCTGTTCATAGTGGTGTAACTGTTGTTCTTGAGCAAATTGTTGCGTTATCTTTAATTAATTGAAATTGCTAGCAATATCTGCCAATAGCTTGCACACAATTTCATTAAGTGTGTGGTATTAGAGAACTAAAATAGTTTTGAAATGCAGTGACTTAATTAAAAATTTACATAGTATATAGACTTGTTAAAATTTAACTAAACCAGAAACTACTAAATTAATTCAACCTTGAAAAAAATGTGCAACACCAAGAGACAACAAAGCAAGTGTTGTAGATCTAATCATATAAATAGCTAATTATGAATCTTTTTTAATTTACAGATTCGAATTACACCGAATCAATTAAAAAAAATAAGGCCAAAATCGTATCTTTAATTCTATTAACATTTTTTTAATTATTCAAACCGACCTTCCTAATTTCACACATTTTGACACTGTTCTGAGTTATTTATGTGATTGTAAAAGAAACAGACACTAACGAGTAATAACTTTATCATTGCACATCTGCAAATGGCACATGAAAACAAGTGGATCCACTTCACATACTTTGACCCCGAGTTCAAATATTTATGTGATTTTGACCCAAAAATTAATGGGGTTTCATTGAACTTAACCATATTGTGAAGGGCACATGAAACATATGCGCAAGTGGACATAAAAACCTGACCCCTCATCTCTGTCTCGCCGAACACTCAAAAGGTCACTTTCCAATATCAAACTGTTTCAGAAGCCACCTTACTTGTCCATTCATTCCACTAACCATAGTATATAACATTCTTTTCTTACCCTTCTTTTTCATTCTCATCCCAAAGTTCCCACTTCCAACATCTTTCGCGTTTTCGTCATTCACTTAACTGTAAGCTTCTGCGTCCAGTTGTTTACCTTTTTAGCTTCCATTTGACAAACCTCTTTCATGATTTTGAATTGAAAATTATTAACACATGTTTTCTATGTTTTATGTTGCGTTTGTGTGTGTGTGGGGGGGGGGGGGGGAGGAAGAATCGTGTTTTGGGGACTAGTTCTGGCTGATATATGTAGATGACAAATTTAATTGATATTTTGAATTGTTTGATCCGAACCCAGTTTCTAATTTCCATCGATTTATTACTTAAATTACTAAGTCAAGGGGATTATTCATCAAATTTCAATATAGGTTTGTAGGGAAGAGGGGGAAGATAGGGATAGTATTTGAAGTGGGAAAAAAGCGGTAAGCGTTTTCGATCATGTACACTCTGGAAGAAAGCTGAGTTCATAATTACTGCCCTGTTTTATAATTTCATAATTTAACTATTAGTAGTTTTTGGGTAGGTATAGACGGGAGAAATAGCCTGACATGATAATGAACACACATTTATGCACTTTAATTTGTTCATTTGAAACATTTTTTTATAGAGAATTCGAAATTGATTTAATGTAGGGGTGAAGGTGATGATCATTATCGTTTATGCTATTTTATCGTCTCGTCCTTCAATTTCTGTAACTTGTGTTGAAGGCCTAATTTATCCTTAATTGTTCTAGTTTACATATATATTTGGAAAGATTTTTATGATACGATGGACCATTTTCAAGTTATTAAGAGGGCCGATAAAGAAATTGTCTGTATAATCGAGTGACCTTGTTTCACACAGTAGTTTTCTTCGTGTTCCTTTCTGTTCTGCTCACATTACTTAGTTTATAGTTGTTTTCTGTGTGGTTAATCCTACAAAAACTATTTATCTATATTTATTTGGATTCAGGAGTAAAAAATGTCTGTTGTCAATATGTCCACTGTGAGAGTTCCAAAAGCTTCCTTGTCTGGAACAGAACCTGCTAAGAGATCTTGGGCTATTGTCAAGAGTCCTTCAGCTTTGAGTTCTGTGAAGAACGTGTCTAAAGTATTTGGTTTGAAATCATCCTTCTTTAGAGTGTCAGCAATGGCAGTATATAAAGTGAAACTGATTGGACCAGATGGTGATGAGAACGAATTTGAAACCCCTGATGACTCTTACATTCTGGATTCAGCCGAAAATGCTGGTTTGGAGCTACCTTACTCATGCAGAGCTGGTGCCTGCTCTACTTGTGCTGGCCAGCTGGTTTCAGGCTCTGTGGATCAGTCAGATCAATCCTTTCTTGATGAGCAGCAAATGGAGAAGGGTTTTCTGCTAACATGTGTCTCATACCCAAAATCAGATTGTGTGATTAAAACACATAAGGAGGAAGATCTATGCTAAGTGATAATGTATGTTTTTAGTTAGTTGTTCTAAAGTTTGAATATGGATCATGGTAGCTAGCTATTTTGGAACTCTGTTGGTGTTTGTACAACTTTTTTAAATCAATCTAAAATTATGTGTAGCTTGAACCGTGTAGGTAACATGTGGGGATTAGAACTGTGTCATTAAATAATAGGAAAATGAATTACAGGACAGTTTCTTAGTAGTTAAGAGCATTTTATTATGGTAGCCTTGTTTGAATGCAGTGTGATGCCTTGGGAGATTTCCTCTCTTGCAGTTAGTTGCCTTTCATTTTCTGTAGTGACATGTAAATAGTGCATGTTGGGCCTTTTATATTGGCTTCAATTGTTTTCTGTGGGTTTTTCTCTTTGAAGCCCGTGCTTGACCCAAGTTTGAGAATCCCAACCTACACTAGTTTGAAGAGATTATACGTTTAACGTCTAGATGAAAACAAAGGCTTCATGTTCGTTTTTAGAAAATAAATCGCCTAAAATCTAGGAACATGCCAACATCATGCAAAAGTGAGATTATACAAACTACAAAAATTTTGGTAGTAAGAAAGGTAAGCCCAAAACTACACAGCTACAGATCTAGGAATAAATTCCAACTCCGTTTCCGTGATGAAATATAAAACACCCAACACTATCTCTAAGCCCACTGCAGAGTGCTGACTCGAGTCGTGATAAATATGCAAGCCCACTGCAAAGTAAACATGATAATATTTTAATAATATTTGTTCGGAAATATATTTAGTTAAACAATTTTTAGTTTTTATTTTTTAAGTTTTATGACTGAACTGTATGCATCATTGAAATTTATATATTTTGTATAACTTCTTCTCCTTAAAATATCGAGTTGTGATTGCGAGATTAAACTCAGCTTAATTCATTTTATAAACATTTTCACTAAAAGACGTATCTTATTTTCAATAAAAGAATGCAAAATACCACGAATTAAACATATCATACAGGTATACCTTATTTTTCTTCTTTTAATAAAAAGGAATAATGTATTTTCAATAAAAAAAATCAAAAGAAAAAGAATAAGTAAAGTGTGGTTGATCCAGTTATTTGGAGAAATTTTTCCTTAAAGTTATTCTTCAGAGACTAAACTGATGCAATGAATCATAGCATAGCAACAACAGAGTAATAAAGCTTACATTCGATAGAGAAAATTGCTACATCGTCAAAAGTAAAATGAACGAAGAGAATCAATATATATTCGTTGAATTGTATAAAATATTCTTAAGGGTTTATTCGTTATATACTGCTATTTAGATTTTTTTTAACAAGATTTTAGAGTATTATTATTCTTATTCTAATAAGATACTAAAATTAAAATATTAAACTTTTTTATCAGAGTCAAGAGTATATTATACTATACACCATATACCTCCTTTATTCATATTAAAAAAAAATAAAATCAACGGAAAGCATATTTGCTTCCCGCCAAAATGATTGAAGGATTCCCGCGCTCTCACTCCATACATAAATCAAAGTGCAGTCGGTAACACTCACTGTGGAACCACGCATACGCAAAGGCTTTCTTCAAAGGTTCATCCTTCCCTTTAATTCTTGAGTTTTTTGTTGCAGAATGTTTCTACTTACTGATTTGCTATAATTTAGGTTAGATGATTTATCATTGACAACACGCATGTCCCTTTTTCGTGCACTTAACATGTTTGTGGAAAATCCTCTTAGACTTCATGTGGTTTCATTGTTCTTTTAATGTTCAATGTTATTGTAACATGGGCTAAGTTGAAAATTAAAAACAGGGTTTAGATCATGCAATTAGTACCTATTAAGCTTCAAATTCAGTTGTTTAAGTTGTGTCTGCAAAGCTTGATTCTATTCAATTTGGTTGGTCTTCTGATTTCAGGTCATGGATACGTCAAATCCTGCTGCATTTGTAAATGCCCAGATGCTTTCCAACTTCATAGGAAAGAAAGTACGAACGGTGGTTCAGGTGAATCAGTATGATGGTGGGGTTACCACTGCAAAATCCACTGATGACTCTCAATTAACCATAAAAGGGGTGCCACAAGTCCCTCTTATGAATTATATTGAAGTCATTGGTATTGCTGAAAGTAACCACTCCATTGATGCCGAAGTGTGGACTGACTTCGGCAACACTTTTGGTAAGAAGCATTACAAAGTATTGTCAATTACTAGATTCATTTTTATCCTCAAAATGTGAAATGAATCATATAAAGTAATAGCATGTTTGGAACCATGTTTTACCACACTCAAAATTCATGCTATCGCAAAAGCTACAACTAGTATCATTGAAGTAAACCTAGTTTCGTGGCCGATCACACACAAAATGTTTGTTCAGATAGTTTTTTTCTTGTCTCAATTTATACCCCAAATTAGATTAATTGGGTGATTGCTCTCTCCCTCTACCTGACACAAATGCTAAATACTAGAGTCAGGAACTGTTTGGTGATGCTATTTTTTATTTCTGATGTTCTGTTCCTACCTATTTATATTGGTTTTGATTTGTAGATACCAACTCTTACAATCAGTTATGCCAACTAGCAAATGGTGAATTCAAAAGTCTGTTTCTCTAGGGACTTCAAATGCTGAGTCTCCTTCTGGATGGGGTATGAAGTGGCAGTTTTCGTGCAAAAGCATTTGTTTACTGCTTAGCATTTAGGGTGTAAATGTAGGAATTACGTTTGGAGTACATGTTATTCCCAGAGGAGGGGGCGTTTGCTCTGTAAAATCTGTTTAATGTTTTTGAAATCCTCTTAAATTATCTCTATGTTATGTCTAGTTTGGGTTATGACTGCATCATCGACTTCAATTATAGGGATTTCATTTCGCATTTTTGGATCGTCCGGTAACTTGAATATACATTTGGTATTTTCCCCTTCCAGTTGTGTGTTCAGCGTCATACTTTTAATTTGATCATTTATATATAGTTCAGATTTAATGTTTTCATAATTTTTATAATAAAAATTGTTCTTATTAAATATATATATATATTATAATGTTATTTTAATAATAAATTTAAAATCTTTTATTATATTGATGTTAATAAAAATATTAAATCTTAATTAAAATAATTAATAAAACCCAAGTTATCACTTAATTGTATAGTTATTTAAAGCAGAAAAATATTAATTTAGCTTAATCTAGAATTTCTTGAGACTTGTACAAGAGTTGAGATATATACGAGAAAGAGAGAGGGAGCATTTTGTGCAACTGACCCACTTTCCATCAACGTGTTACGTGAAGTATCCTCGTCAGAATTTTGTGACACTGAGGTTTGACCCACTTTCTCAAAGTTATTTGTGGTACGCCACGTTTATTTTGGGAACAGAAATATTTTAATAAAAGATAATAACTAGAAAAAATGTTATTAAACCTTATGAATTAATATTTGTTTGTTTTAAGTGTTGAGGTTTTTAATTCTCTTTAGACAAATTTTTAGTTAAACTTTTACGCATGAAAAAAATTAAATAAATCACTAAACTCAATTTAAATTAGGCAAAATTTAAAGTAGTTTTTAAGATATTAATAAAAAGGGAGTTTATCAGTCGCTTATTCTTGCTCACATGCCACAAAGGAATGGGAAGATCTCCATATCAACCAGCACATGACGTATCCATGCACCGACTCGTATACTTTTGCCCTTCCACTATTCTTTGTGGAATCTTTGTTCCTTTCCTCCACCCAAGAAGGCTTAATGCTTGAAGCATAGACACTCGTCCACCATGTGAGTTTTTATCTCACACTTTTAACCCAAATTTATGTATTTAATGCCTAATATAACTGACTAAACTTGATTAGTAAATACTTAATTTGCATATAGTTACCGTATAACAGTTGCCATTCATCACCTTGTCAATTGAATTAGAGACAATTTTGTCAGTTAAACACAATTTTGGTCTAGTAAAAAATTATTGATGCCACCTATTATAATCATGGCATATATTTTGTTCTTTTAAAACGAGGATATGCATAAAGAGTATATCTACCATTAATCATAATTGTGTGAAGTTTCTATCTTAATTTATACATTTAATCATTCCAAAGAAGTTAAATCGTGTAATCAGTAATATGTATTAGTTACTTGCAGGTGTTAAAAATTTAAGGTAGAAATAAACGAAATATATGTGGAAATAATTATTTATAAATATATAAAGTTAAAAAAATATAGCTCTGTTTCAATTGTGAAATAATATTCAGGAAAATTTTGAATAATTCTTATCACTTTTTATTTATTTTAACTTGGATTGTCTCGAATAGTAAATACTTTGCTTCAAAATAGTTGAAAAAGTACTTTATCTCACGATTTTTTCTGGTTTGTTTAGATGAAAAGTAGACAACAAAAGAATATAGATAATAATATATATTTTTTAATTTTAAAAATAGAAGAAAAATAAATTTAACATTTAAAAATATTTTTCTTTCATTTAAATTTTATGTTTTTTTGGCACTCCTCTTATTTTCTTTTCATAGAACCGAGACTTCATAATATAAATTAATATTTTGTTTCTTGTCATTGTTATATCAATTATGCAGCTATCAAAATCGTACAACATGACACTCTCTTGGACCTTGATTTCTTTTCAGTCTTCTCACATGTTTGTTGTACAAAATCTACCCTTGGCTTGTTACATTGCTGTACTTATCGAAGTCCGTGTGTTGAACATGAATGCGACAGTGACGGATTTCATGTATCTGGTGTCTGAAAGAAGATCTACTATTATAATATGAACATAATCATGAAATAACATGCTGACTCTAGAGCAATTAAGCTTTTCATGTGTAAACAATTTTGTGAACAAATAAGACAGCTATGAGCTTGATCTAAGATTAAAAAAGTAATAAATTTTAAACTTAAATAACTTATATATTTTAAATAATTTAGACTTGTAACTCCCTTATTTATATAATTTTAAATTCCTGGGAAAAATTAATTATTAATTAATTACTTACAAAAGGATTTTTTTAATTTTAAAATTATAAAAAATATATTTGTTTGGTAAAATTACATAAATATTGAAAAATTTAAAAATTATAACTTTTGATACTTTTAGAATATTTTCTTATTATTTTAAAAATCATCAATTATACTTTATAAGTTTTTTATTTTTTTTATCTTTGAATTTTTGTATTTCCACCAAAAAATGTCAATAATAATATTTAAATTTCATATTTTCATAATTATTTAAAAAATATGATATTTTTTATATATTATTTTTAAATACTGTATATGAAAAACTAATCCGGTGCACAAAAGCATTAAGGTTCCACTTTCCAATCACTGTTAAGATGACAAACTAATTTCCAAGAGATTGTATTTTATAATTGGGACCACTCACCCTACTTACGTTATATAAATCAAGAGCTTTCCGGTAAGGCCACTTTTCGCTGAAGATAAGGCCAAACCTTTCCTTGTTAAATACTCTCTAAAATCATTCTAATCTGAAACCAGCTCTGCTGCCACAACCCTTTCAGTGTCCAAGAAAGTGAAAAACTCCAAGTAGGAGTTTTCACATTAAAGAAGAAGAATCAGTTATGATCTGTATAGATTGTTAGCTGAAAAGGAAAATGGGTTTCAGAGTAATAGGATTTTCTCTTCTTATCATCATCTATGTCATCAATCTTGCATCTTCGTATCCTATTCGGAAGACCTTGCCTTCAGGTACTATCCAAAAAAGAAGTCCTACGTTCTAACCCAATTGTTATCTTGCCAAGTCCTTTTATTTTTTTGTTGGATTCTTTTCTTTTTCACTGCGGAAACATGAGTTATAAAGTCTTCTATTATTGCCTATGGCCCTATACTGCTTTTGTGGGTACCTAACCTGCTATGTGTCTGCTAGCTAATAGCTGTCATCTTCAATTCACAGTAAACATGTGATAAAGAACAAAGACCTCAGGATACCAAAATTAAGGGAAATAAGCTTTAAAAAATAATAATAAGCTCAACATGCATAAGCTGATTGTTTAGGAACCCTGATAAGAGATAAGCTTTGCAGTCATGGCGTAATTTATTTCTTCTAGAATTACTAAGGTTATAAAGCAGATAGATTTTTTTAAACTCTCTTTAGAAGAAAGGGCATTGGCACGAGGGACAAGTGGACAACTATGGAACTGGGGATAACTTTAAGTGTGTTTAATTTTGGTTGTTTTAAGAAATGATCACTTATTTTTTAAGCTTCTTTCAGTTTATTTTAAAAAATATGATCACTTAAGTTTTAGCTTCACGAGTTGACAATTGTTTTTGGGGTGTGTTTAGATCAGTCTTAAAATAAGTGATTATTATTTTAAAAAGAATTATTTTCAAACATGTACTTTAGTTTATTCAATAGCATAATCAGCCTTGTTTTGTAATTGTCAAGGTGCAGGGGTAACCTTTTCTTTTTTTCTTTTCCAGTGCTAAGCACTTGCTGTTCTGCATTATTTCTGTTCTATTATTTCTCTTGATGAAAGAATAGGGGTAACCCGTAAACCATTGTAGATTCTTTAGTCTTGATCATTGCTTGAATGAACATAGGACGCAAACTTTGAATATTACCTTTCCCAAGTTCCTTGTATCCCACTACTAAAATTTCGAATGCTCTATAACTACTTTTGCTGAAATTCCTTTGCATGACAAGATATGTGAACTTTACTACTCGGTTAGGATAAAAAGTACGCTTTTGAAAGATGTCTTACCATCAGCCTTTATATTCCAATACTAGTGGTCTAATGGAGTATCCAATGCCAAATTATGTAATTATCTTCGAAAACGTGTATGCTTTGTACAGCAAGCTCATCTCAGTCTATAAATCTTTAATTAAGTGAAAATTAGCAATGTGAAAGAGTAAAAATTTAATAATTTTATTTGCTTATAGCAGCCGTTGTACTTCGAGTAGTGTGATGTTAGATTTCCTTGCCAAACGGTCCACTTTGCAGTCAACACTTTAACATAAGAATTAAGATGGGAATATATTTTTTTATAAAGGAAAATGTTAACATAAGACTGATTTTAATTATTTAAAAATGATAAGTTTTATTAAGGAAGGAAATATTAATTATATATATTTTTATATATATAATCAATATTTTTATATGCATCAAAACAGCCTATAAAGTTAGAATTCACAAAGCTATAATACTAATATTTATCAGGGGACGTGTATGACCACATCATGGTCTTCTGCAATTTTCATTTGGGCAGAATGTATGAGCAAAATACCAGGGGAATTAACCTTGTGAATTTCTCTCTTAAGCATGTGAAAGAAACAGAGGTTCATGAGTAAAACACCTTTAATAAGAGTTCTTTTCTTTTTTGTTGATAGAGTTTGAGAGCAAGTTAGAAGATAAGGGAATACATGAAAGTAAGATCGAAGGAGCCGCAAGTCATGGAGGTGGAGGTGGTCATGGTGGCCGCTCACACGGAGATGGAAATTCAGGATCTCCTGATACACGAGGAGGTGGAGCAGTAATACCTGTGTATGCAGGAGGTGCTTCAAGAAATCGCCAACATCAGACCCGTCGTGGTGCTGCCAACTGCAACCTTAACAACAAAATTTCCAATATGCTTATGATTACCTTGGTCTATCCTCTCATACTGATATTTTTGTTGATATAGAAAGCAGAAAAACAGTTCGTTGTATATGATGTAACAGCTGCCACAGGTTCATTTCAACGATAGTGTGGTCTGTGTTGATCTAATTATGTATTTTGTTCAGTTTGTGTTTGTGTTAAAATATGCAGAATGTATCAGTTGCTGCTGAATAAGAATTTTCTTTTGGATTGCAAGGGATGTTCATATGCTCAAAATATCAAATTAACCTAAAAAACACAATCAAATTTCAAGAATCTGTACTAAAAATAGTCATGGATTCCACGCGAGCAGAAGGTACTCAGTTGACTCGTTTATATACCTATCCGCAATTGCAAGTCTGAAATGTTTAAAATATATAAAATCTCCCTTGAATGTCCTTCCGCCTAAAGAAAAAAATGATACATGATTCTACAAATTTCTCTTTCCAAATGTAACATTTTGCCTCTTGATTCTCTTTTTTTTTTTTTTTTTTTGCCAATATACTATTTTTTTTATTGGAGGACAGGAGACACAGAAAGAACAACTGACTTGATTAGAATAACAGGATGCATATATAAAATTTAAAAGGAAGTTCTGAACCCAAATATATTATCATTTCTGTAAACATAACTAATGTTTACGAGTTGGGTTTAATAGTTTAAACTGAACACTCAACTGTCAACAGAAGCACCAGTTTCGCTTCCTTGAACACTGGATTTTAAATTTTAGGGCCATAAATGATGCATGCAGGTCTGTTGGGGAGAACTGGGATCCCGGCCACGGGTTCAATTCAAACCTAGAAATCATCGGGAATTCAATTACTCCATTTATACATCCAAGGATTTGGCTAATCATTCGAGTTGATGATTTTAAATCATATATATATGAGTACGTTTAAAAGACGGCTTAATTTCAACTTGTAAATATCAATTATACTAATTAAATTGACACAATACTGGTACACATCTTGTTAGACAAAGTGTATATACAGAAAATGCTATCCAAAGATGAAATATTCTAATAATATATAGTTTCACATAGCTAGAAGTTATCGGAGAAATGCAGAGAGAGGGAACCATAATTATCCATCGCTTTTAAAAGGAAGAGAGGTGCTCAAGTTTCCGAGCCTGAAAAAACCTAGAGCGTCCTTTACCACTTGATTCTATTTCTTCACTTCTCTTGGATGTGGTGAAACCCATATTGCTTAATTTTAATTGCCGCTTGCCATTATTATTGGTGCTACAACCATCTTCATCCAAATTGTCAGACTCCCTGTAAACAATTACCAGTGTTAATGAAGAGACATGAGAACAAACAGCCCTTACAAGAAACCAACTTATCCAAAAGTTTAAGCCATTTAATGTGAAAGAGGGAAGCGAGGGGGTTGGCTTTGGGCATGGTTTACAAACACTCTGCATTGTTCTTGCTTCAAGCAGAAAGCTTGTGTGAGGAGTTTGCGTTAAAACTATTTAACCAGACCCAACACCTTAAGCTTTGGGGAGACTGCTAGTTCTGGTAGCAAGTAAATCTTGAAGCTAAAACACGAAAATATTCTTCTGTGGAAGTTAAAAAAGAAATTAAAGAAAATAATAACCCAACATCTGCTTAAATTGTGTATGGGGGTTATAGCACCTGGCAGTATGTTAGCATTTTTCTCGAATAATCCATAATAGTCATTTGGGCCCTAGTTCAAGTAGGCAAATGGAGAGTGTTACTATATATGAAAATATCTTATCATGAAATATTTTTAGAATTAGTTCCCTTATTTCCTCATTATCTCATAGGATTATGGACCGCATAGGATTAAGATTAGTATACGTATTGGACAAAAAAAATAGGATTGGTATACATAAGGGTTGGTGCTCTAGAACAAATCATCATATTGTAATATATGACATCTCTTCAAGTTAATATCAATTCCAGAGTATTTACTATTCGGTCTCTTTTATCTCCTTTTACTCACTATATACCTAAACCCCCCCACATAATTTCAACAAAAAGCATGGCAAAGAATTGATATGACGAATACATTAACAATTTAACATATATTAAGTGGAACAAATTTGGGAATCATTTGCTCCGCAGTCACGGATTTCCCCAAATTTTAAGAAAACAAGCTTACCATAACACTTCTGCAATATCTTTAAAATAAGTGTTGCAGGTTCCCCAACTAAATCGGACCAATGTTGGAAACCCAAAGATAGTGTGTCTGTGATGTTCTAGCCAAGACTTGGTTTGGGGATCTATACAAATGACAACATAACCCGATTTATAGTGAGTAGAGGGTTATTCAGAATGACAAATACAGCATGAGATGGAGTCGCAGTTTTTCACCTCCGGGATATCCAGAGCCAAAGTTCCTATGCATGTTTTCAGCGGTCTCATCAAGCACCCATTCTTTTAAAGCACGGTCCCTTGTCACCTGAAAGATTGGATATGTTGCAAGTAAACAAAAGTTCTTAATACTGCAGGAAATTTTATATGGGAAAGGTAGAGATACCTTTGCTACAATACTTGCACCACTGACAACAGGATAAAGACTATCCGCCTTCTTTGCAACCACAAATTTGATAGATGGAAAAATTTTAGACAGCTTCATTTCATATTTCCCTGCATCTCCAACTGTATCTATATAAACCTGAAAGGAACAAATTAAATTTTTCTCAGCTTGGTAATTGAAATTTTATCTGCTTACAGTTTGATAACACACCCCAAATACTTAAATAAAAAGGTTTAACAGACTCTACTTAGGTATAAGCAGCATTGAATAAAATCATTTGAGCTAAAGAAGAATGAGCTTATGGTTGATATTAAACATAAGTTGGGAAGGGTTTGACCTCAGTTAGAAGCACTCCCATTTTGAGTACCCTATCGATGAGACCCATGGCAGATTCATGTGATATCTCATTCAAGTTTATCTTGTTCCTGTTAAGATTATAAAAGGGAAAGCAGTGACGAAATAGAAAAACCAGTGAAACACAGAAAGATTAATTGATATACTTTTTGAGCATTTTAGCAGAGAGTTCCCGCGGGTCAATGACATCAACATCCCATCCAATAGAATCATTGGATTTTAAGGTGTCAAACAATTCTTCTCTCTTCTCTTCTTTTAGTGTCTTAGAATCTGCAGAAACAGAGCGTGCGCGCGTTGTTAAAATGGATGGAGAATGTGCATTGCTGCGATTATTGAATAATGTTAAGAATTGGAAGTACCCGCAAAACTCAAGGTAGCTAGGGTTTTCATGTAGGAGGAAGCACAGTACAAGCAAGCATAGACCATGGGACCTTAAACAATTTCCAAAATACGTTATTAAGAAAATAAACGCGTAAAGAGAGAAATTTAGAATGTGAAAGAGAAAGAGACCTAAAACGGGACCTCTTCCAGCTTCGTCGATTCCCATCATGCATGGCTTCGACGCCCATTTGGGAAGAACAACTTTCGATGCCATTCGAGAATGAAGAGAAGAAGCGCGCTTTTTTGTCAATTCAAGACTTTGTTTTTTAATATTTTAGGGCAATAATTTTGCATTTTTTTTTATATATATTTTATAATAATCTCTGAAATCTATTCTAAAATTGATGATGTTACTGTCTTGGTCTTTTTAATTTTTCATCGTGAAGTCTAACCCAAGATGGACCTTTTTATCCAAATCTCTGATGCCCACTAAGACACAGTGGCTCTACCTTATGATGCTTCTAAACCCAGAAGCAAAGTTGACCGAACAAATTAAAACCCAAAAACAAAGAATCAAAGCTACTTGCTCGTACCTCCCATGTTGGAGTTTGTAAAATATACAGTGGTTAAGAGGCCTATATCCATGACTACCAAAAAGAAAGAGAGAGAGGCCTATATCACGCTTGATTTACTTCATGGTAATGTTTTGATATTAGGATTGTAGCTTATCTATGTTTGAACCTTGTAAAAAAGACATTTATTAGATTACCATTTTTTTTTTCAGAGAGTTGTTTCAATTTAATGTGTGATCTTGTGATTTAATATCAGTTTCTAATATATCAGAAAATCATCTCCATCAATATAAAATAAAAGACGTGTGTGTAATACTAGGATATATAGTTGTAAAAGATAAATATTAATTTCATTTAAAAAGCTGTTTGTTCCGGAAAAAAAAACGCCAATAATTGCATTTTTGTTGGACCATATATTGACAAATAAAATTATAAAAAAGTTCAAGTTAATTTGTATTTTTTTAAAAATATGTCTAACAGAAAATCTACAAGAAATAAAACATATTTACTTCAAATTAATGAATACTGTTTTAAAATATTTTTTGGCAAAACTATTCATAAAATTTTGTGTTAAGCTTTCCGGTAAACTTACTTTTAAATTAGAAACAATTCTAAATACAAATCATATCATTTTAAATTCAATTTTAAGCAAAATTAGTTATACAAAATAAAATTTATTCAATTTCAAATTTACAAATGCAAGTCCAACACGTACACAGACAATTCTTAAGTAACCACCTTTTCTCTCTGAATTTTCTTTCACTCTATTTTCTCTTTACCACCATCTTACGTTTTCGTCTCGTGCCCGGCCACCGCCTGTGGTGCGGTCACATTGCCAAAAGTAAAGCAATGTTTGCTTCTTTAATTTAGTATTCTCAAGCTATAATTAGAGGTTACTTATTATACTTGATCGAAACTTTCATTATATGCACCCCACTTTCCTAGCTATAACCCAGAAATGGATGGCAAATGCTTGAAAACGAAGTAAGAAAGCAAGATAACGAATGTTACATTATTTGGCGAAAACATTGCAAAATATTACTTAAATACTTAATTATAAGTTCATCATTAGGGCAAGGGTAACAATCAAATTTAAAGAGTTTAAAAACAATAGGTGAGTGTTTGGTAGCACTGAAAGATTAAGTGGTGGTTAGTGGTTAGAATGGTGCTGGTGATAGTGAAACTTTTCCGTTGGTAGTATTGTGTGATTGTAATAAAGATGAGTGCAGTGATGGTAACAATGAAGTGATGATGGAAGTGGTAGATCAAACATTGTTAGTAATGGCATAGAGGTGGTTAACAAAGCGAGAGGGGAATGTAGACACCGTTGGCAATTGTAATAATAACAGGAAAATTATGAAGGAGAAAAGTGAGGTGATGAATGGATGGGAAGAAAATGGAAGATGGTAATGCCGTATTGGCAATGTTACGGGTTGAAATAGGTGGCAGAATGACAACGGTTATAGTGATGTTATGGCTGACAAAATGATGTGCAATATTTATTGATAATAATGAAATTATTCTTCTGGCCAAAAAAATAAGATGTTAATCAACGTATCTTCAAATGATTAGCTGCTAAATATACCCCACACACGCTCCATGAGATTCAGTAAAGTATATGCCAAGACATCTTTTATAATTGATCTGTCATACATTTCAACCCCTGTTCAATTAATTAACATGCCATTCAAGTTTTACTACAATTATTTGTATTTGTAAGGTTTTGGACAATAGCAACAAAAACTTCATCTATATAAGGTCGATTGTATTACGCCATTGAATTGGATCAAGGTCTTAAATAATGGACCCAAGAAAAGAACTTTTTTTAATGCAGTAATGAAGCTAGCTTTGCATACTGATGTTTTAACAAGAGGTGAGGGAGTTTTGGAGGGGATCCCACCACATGAGCTACCAGGTACTGAACAAACAAGGATTTGGCAAAAGAATAATAACAGATTGTCATGTTAACAAGCAAAACAGGCAAACTGGCATACTTAATTTACTTTTGAATAAATTTGGATGCATATACTTGGATGTACATTATTTAGGAACATGTTCATGACAACCTTATCCAAACTATCACGAGGAAAAGGAAAAAGAAAAAAGAAAAAAGAAAATGCCTTGCTTTTCCAAATGCTATCCCTGCTTTCAATTCCCTTAATCAAAAGGCCAGGCTGAAAGGTTCAAGAAGAATGTCCAGACCACAAAAGCAGAGTAAAGTACCAAAGCCTGCGCATGTGCTGGGTGCTTCCTTCACAAAAACTATCTCAAAAAAAAAAAAAAAAAACAATTTTACATCTATTGACAAAGCAAGCTTCACAGTTCATCCATGTGTGCGTAATGATTGAACACAACAAGAAGATCACTTCTCACTTAACTATCCTCTGGATCATGGATTCCATTCTTTCGTTGTCCCTACACTTGCCAATCAAGTCCAAGTACTTCATAGCATCATGCGGTGAGAGACCTTCAAGAAGAAACTTCAACAAACGACCATGTGTTCCTTGCATCACATCAAAACATTGCTCTAGTGCACTCACTTCTTCCTCTTTGCTCATCTCCAGTGCCTCCATCAGTGGCAGCAATTCCACTTCCTCTTCCATGAAATGTTGCTTGCACTGCCCCTATAAAACAAGTAAACAATAAAATCAATTCAGATCTCAACATGACAACATAAATCTCAGATAGAAAACATAAAATTCCAATTGAGGGCATCACAAATAGAATTGCTGAACTTACCTGCAAAGACTTGAGGCGAGTAGAAAGACTGTTCAAAGCCTCTCTATAATCAGGGCTTCCAGAGTCCAAAACCCCAACAGATTTGATAACTTCTTTGATGCCATTCATGAGGGGTAGGTCCCTAGCATGTTCTTCCTTTGCAGCTTTTGAAAGCCCTACATAACAAATATTCATTCACAGCATTGCTTCAAAGCCAAGTAAAACACTACCTTCCACATGCCCTATTAAAACATGTTGCCTCTTCACAAAATTTAACAACTCCAAATCCAATTAAAAAAAAAAACATAACAAAACACCAAATAAATTAAGTACGTGAGATCAAATTTATCTTATGAATATACAACAAAATCTATATCTATATCTATATCTATCTCTATATGGATATGAAATTTCTAACGTTGAAACAAAGTAACAATATTAAAGAGTGGTTGATGGTTGTTACTTGTTACCTCGATCAGCCTTATCGAAAATAGGGAAAAGGACAGTCTCCTCCATCTGCGCGTGTTCCATCATCACCTCAAGCAACTCCGAGTAACTCCTAGCGAATTTCCTTACCTCCATCCTCGGACTCCCCATGGAAGGATCGACGGCTTTCTTCCCTCCACGTGTCGTCAGATCCTCCGCCCACTTCACCATCCTCTCCACGTGCCAGAGAACGCTCTTATGCTGCACCCGCGTCAACATCGCCAGCACCGGCGTCGTTTCCTCCTCCCTCCTTTCCCTTCCACTCCCAACCGACGAAGGATTAGGGAACCGCGCGTCGATGAACCGCAGCAGCGTCTCGCGTGAGCCCGAAACCACTTCGGATCCCACTTGGAGCGAAACCGTGCTCTCCGGGTCGGACCCTCCGACTCGGTCCGTTTCGCTGGAGGGAACGAAGTCCAACGAAACGGCCTTGTGGAGAAGAGCGAAACGAATATAAGCAGCGAGAATGCTTTTGGGAGAGCCGTATAATCGGACGGTGGGATACACTTTAGCTCCGTCGTGGGGTACAATCTCCGCCGTCAATTTTTCCGACTTGCCCAAACAGTTCCCCATAGTTTGTAAGAAACGATGGGAAAAGAGAAAGAGCGTGTGTGTTCGTGTGCTACGGTGACGGCTATGAGATTAGATTAAGATATTGGCATTATCATTATTATTTGGAATAAATAAAAATTGGATGGATGATGCTTAAACGAACTGAAAACGACACCGTAATTTGGATTATAGCAAATAGCATCACCGACCGTTGGCATGGAGCGTTTACAGTTGCGTATTGCTATGAGAGTGAAAGTGTGAAAGGGAAGTTGACTATGAAGCCTCCCTCCATGAATGAATATGCTTAGTTTGGAAGGAAGAATGTGAAATTCGCTTCCTTTTCTCTGCAATCAAATAATGCAACTCACAAATGACAATATTTTTTACCATAAATATATATCAGATGGAATCACAATCCACACCCCGCAATTATTTTTCTACGTTGAATCTGGAAATAGTTTTTTAATGTTAAGGATATGACTATGGATTTTTTTATACATATATAGAGATCTATTGTGTATCATTAATTCGTTGTTATAGCTAACCATTGCCGCAAGGTTATTGGCTTTACTCTCTGTATGGTGAAGTACATGTGTCATAAAAAGATTAAAAACAGTCAATGAGAAGAAAAACAAAACAAAGAAAACTCAGTCAAATTAATTAATGCTGCAAACCATTGGTCAATACCTAAATTTTCATTAATCAAAAATATTAACAAGTATTTTTAAAACGTTAAGAATTACGATTTGCTACAAGGAAAAAAGTAAAAAAGTTATAAGAAATGAAGCAAACTTTTACTTTCATCCTTTAAATTATATGTATCACCCATTTAAATTTCTAATGTTACAAAATTTTCAATTAACCCGTGATTTTATAAAAATATTGTTTGTTTTAATATTTTTCATTAGCTTTTTAACTTATTAGCGACACGTTTCTTCTTTTTCTATTGCTTACGTTTATTATTTTTACTGTTATAAATGAAAAAAAAATGTATAGAATTAAAGTAATATGTTATTATCTTATAGTTTTAAAACATTAAAAATATATGCATTATATTAATATAATATCAATTATTTAATCTTTGAAATAATAAAATTAATCGTTAATTGTTTCCTCGTAATAGCCGTCACGTTGTCCTATTTTTTTGGTATTTCTCGGCCGTTCTGCCAACATTTATTTAACGAAGTCAAGATCCAACAACATAATTTTTTACTATATAGTGTACAATGGTTTTTTTCTTTATGTATTTAAGTTACCGTAATAAAAGAAGCAAATAAGTTAACATAAAAAAAATTTATATACAATGAATTTTTATTAAATATAATAAAATATTATGAAATTTATTATATTGTTAACAATTAAGATTATAATTTTTAACAAAGTTTATTATATTTATTACTTTTTATTATATGATTTTGAGTGTATATATATATATATATATATATATATATATATATATATATGAAATATTTGTTTAGCAGTGAGAAGTTATTGAATGCTATTTTTTATTTTTGATATAATAAATAATTTAAAATAAAATTATATTACTTTTAAATATTTAAACTCAATTTTAAGAGTTGGTGTTCACATAATTGTATATGTATAAAGTAATTACTAATTTTTTTATAGTTTAAATTATAACAATTGCATCCTGTTCATAATGTTTAATTTATGACGAACAACATTTTATATACAAATATACAGATTTAAAATTTACATAACAAAATATCTGGCTGTAATGAAAAAATATTTTTCTTAGATTAAATTATAGCAAAATAGATAGCCAATTAAATTTTGTTTTTTTGTTTTTTTTTATTTTTATAAATATTGAGTATTTACATGCACAAAAGTTCAAATACGTTAATAATTAAAAACAAGCCAATAAAAGTATTTGCTAAATAATTAAACGTTTAGAGCAATGGCCAATATAGATAATTAAAGCCATTAATTTATAATTTAATGTATTCAGTTATATTAGTTATATTAATGCGTTTGAGAAACAAAGTTTTGTTATCATTTAAATAAAGTTTTAAGTTTAAATGATAGATTTATTCATTGTATTTAAATATACAACTTGAGTATAATTTAAATTAAATTGAATGAAAAAAAAATTAATGTTTTATGAATTCAACTAATTGAATAATTTATTACAGTAGAAAGTGATATATTTATGGATATAGATATATGGTAAATATTTTTAAAAATTTTACTGTAGAATTAGTAATTTTTAAAGAAAAATATATATAATCTTAAATATGAGATTTTTATCGGCTTGAATAAACAATACAGAGTCCGTGACGTCATTTTTTAAACTACAATATGAAAATATTTTCAACTTAATTATAAAAAATATGCACACTTGTTGTTCCTATAGACCTTCGTATCAAAATAACACAAAACATATTTAATATTTAAATTTAAAATCATTCTCATCTCTAAAATATGATGTTAAATTCAATATGAAAATGTGCAAAAAATGTCAATAAGCTTAAAAGCTTTTATAAACCAACTTTTCTTCTTATTTCTAATAAAAGGATCATAAATGAACTCTTCTTATCTTCTCAAACACTTTCATCTATTTCATTGAACAATTTGAACTTTTTTAGTTTCATATATTTTAATAATTCATTTTGTATCAGTGTGGAGGTAGAATAACAATTCAATAAACGATGATTATGATGAAATTAAAAAAACTAAAGCTAATTTGTGAAATATATATTATTATTCAGGTTTCATGATTTTACATTTAAATTTACTATTTATACACGTTAGCATGTAGTTATATTTACTTATGCATGCTTCGAAATTGCAATATTATCATTTTACTATTTAGGTGTCTTCTACAATGTGTATAAATTTGGAAGGATATTTTACACTTTTAAAAATTTATGATTATAATTAATTTAATATTTTAAATATTAAAAAATGTTTATATTTTTAATTTCACATGTAAAAGAGCATTTTGCATGACATCATATAGATTACTTATTATTTAAAATATGTAAACTAGCCGTTGAGTATGAGATCATATAACAGCACACGTGCCACTAGCCATGTGAGGACCCTTTTGCGAGTTACCTAGCTGTGGATGATAATGTCACAGTGGTGGACCATTTCATACCCTCCCAAAACCATATAGCAAGGTGATTATTCAATTTCTAATAATAAAATATTACTCGCACAAACACATCTCATGAAAGATAAAAAGGAAAATAAATGTGACAGACAGTATATTAATATAATGAAATAAATTGAAAACAAACTAAAAAAAAACGTATTATTTTTTTAATATGATTGTGATGAAAATAAAGACTATTCATTTTCCAGTTGTATAGAACTGTGAATAAAATATATTTGAAGGAATGGAAGGAGAATCTGTGTCAAAACTAAAAAAAAGATTGCATTGTTAAGCCTTTGTTAAAGCAGTAGCAAGCCCATGCCCATCTCTGTTACGAGTTGAACATTACTTGAATCCATTGGATTTTTTGATGGACAAAAAATTGGAGTATTTGTGATGATAAATTTACGTATTAATAATTTAAAAATTAAATATACAATAATATAACTCATAGTAAATAAATAAATTGTGTATATTTAAAGAGAGGATTTTCTATTTATTAATTTAATGTAAAATTAAGTGAGAGATATATATTTTTCTAAATAACTAGCATCTTTCAAAAAAGTAATTATGTTTGAGTAATAAAATTTGTTCTTTAAGTATTTAATAACTTAGACTTAATGCTACGTATTAATTCAGAACAACACACTCTACAGTAAAGACAATTCTTCATTGTCTCTCAGTTATGATGTGTTTACGATTTTGAGCATTTGCTGTCTCTTACTAATGATATTATATAGTTGTAATAAAATAAAAAATGTAATATACAACTATTTAAAAATATCACACCCGTGCGTGTAATAATAATTCAACATTTAAATTATCGACGGTATATTGTAATGATTCATACCATAATAAAGTTGGATTTGATATTGAAGTTTTAAATTTTTTTTCAACTGTTTTATTAATATTAAAACATTGACATTGTTCTAATTTATTCTCCTATTTCCGGAAAAAAATATATTTCAAGGTACTGATATATTGGAGTTTTTATATTAAAAGAAAACAATATACAACTTTAATTATAATAATTACAAAATTTTGTTTAAAAATTAAGCAAAATATTCGTTGACATTCAATTTGAGAAACCGAATTATATGTTGCGTATACTATTTATTTTTTATTTTAAATATGTTTTATTTTTTAATCCATGTTTATTAATATATTAAACTAGTTCGTAAAATTATTTAAATAAAGACAAATAAGATAATTAATATTTGACAAAAATTTGTCAAATTTTGATAATTTTGTCCCCTTTAAATTTTTTGAAAAATTTAAACTGATATTTACCTATTTCCTAATTTAATAAGGCAAATTAGTTAATTATAATTTTAATTAATTAATAAAAATTATATTAATAATTACTATTCTTACACTAGTTTAAGATTTTAAATAATTGAAATAAAAATAATTTATTTTAAACTGTGCATTTCTCAAAAAAAAAAAAGTTACTATTTCTATGTTATTTAACATTTTTATTTCGTCATATTTGTCAATCTAAGACGTGATACATGCACAGCAGTTTGTAATTAAGTTAATACAGATTAAAATATAATTTAATAACATACAAAATACAAATTTTATACGTATATACACTAATTTACTTTATTTTAAATATATTTTAATTTATATATTTTTATTAACTAATATATCAAACTAATCAATAAAATTATTTAAATCAAAATAATTAAAGTAATTTTTTGTTTGTTTTAAACCTTTTTATGATCAAATTTTCATTTTTATTTATAATAAATTTCAATAAAATTTTATTAAATACATATTCCGTTGGAGTTTTAGCATCCCATAGCCATTGCAACTCTTTCTTTTTCATTGCAATCCTTCGTCTTCAGTGACTCGTTTCTCGCAGCTGTGTTTTCACTCCTCCGATCAGATTCAGATCTGCGTTCCCAATCTCAGATCGCGTTTGGTAAATTATTTGTTCTGATTTCTCAATTACCACCTTTCATTCTCGTCTTCTCTCTTC